TGTAAAAATATGGGACGCTCTGCCCATATGCCCGATGCGCCGAAAGGCGTGAAAAGGGATCTTTACTACTTTATAGGCAGAAATCATGGAAGTGAGACCAGAGGCCGTGGAGCCAAACTCCGCGGTGGACTGCATGATTAGCAAACATTTCATCTGATTATTCTAGAGGTTTTAAATCTGTGTGACTGACTGACTGTCTACCCCACTAGGACATCACACAAGCGATAAACACCCAATGACACAAAGTGCCACCATGCGGATGAGGATCACCGTGGAGAGGCCCCAGAAACCGCGTTCAGACATTTGGCCATATTTACGGCCTGCCTATATTGCGGCCCCCGGCAAAAGCCAGAGTGGAGCTTCAAATTTTTTATTTGAAGCTCCACTCTGGCTTTTGCCTTGTGCCGCAATATATTTGAAGCTCCACTCTGGCTTTTGCCGGGTGCCGCAATATAGGCAGGCCGTAAATATGGCCAAATGTCTGAACGCGGTTTCTGGGGCCTCTCCACGGTGATCCTCATCCGCATCAGTTGCACCATCTTGTTGAAACCAGGCTTGTTCAATTTCCGGTTTACAAAGTTGATCTATGAATGGTTTTAGAATGTTAGTCTGGTATCTTTTACAATTTATAGTATCGTTGAAGAAATAGGACCTATTATGCGAATAGGGCTCATTTCACATCATACTTCTATTTTGTGGAGAGGAACATGGTGAAATGCATGGGGATTTTGATCACTACACAGACTAATATTCCTACTATCAACTTTGTTCGCCGTCACAAGTATTGATGACAGGTCCTTTCATCCAATGGTGTCTGGATTAGCTTAACTATCGACGTACCAGATAAAGGAAACAATGCTTCGTCTGTGAGAAAGTGACATCAAGGATTTCATCACCATCTTAATTAAGAAAATTCCTAAACCATGGGCAATAGTTGACACTGATGATCTCGTTCTTTTAGTTGTACAACGAAACAAAAATTCAAGTATGTAAGTGAAATTTCTTCTTCACAGGTTTGTGGATAGTACTATTTTACTTGTGTACTCTTGTTGAGCCAACTTTCTTACTGTACTCCTGGGACTCATTAGTGTGTTTTTCTGGTTGTTGAGGAATGTTTCTTCAGACATAAATGGTCTGACAGGGCAACGCACATCATGTACACTACCAGTGCTGCGAAATGTCTTTTATTAAATTGCTTAGTTTTAGGATGAGACATTTAAGTTTCAGAAAACGACAACATATATTTTTGAACAGCTATATTTGAATACCTGTCACCCTTAAGGAACATATGCTGAACTAAAAGTACTCTTTCTTCAATCGCTAACATCATTATAGCTAATATCAATTTTCGTAAAACACCTGAATATAGCACAGATATCCTAAACTAACGGTTACATGGCGCTTGAATGATGACGTAGTACACACATTCAGTTGGTTTAAGCCACAAGAAAATATTGTCATTCTTTTCCTAATGCTTATTATTATTATTTTTTTTTTAATAAGACTGTATCTCCCTATCATCTACGTACATTTTCTCACTAATGAACTGGTGATAATCAGTGATTCACGTCAGTACGTCACCACTCTCAGTACGTCTTCCTTATTCATAAATTGTTCCCGTGAGCGTCAAATGTTTTAGTGGTTTATTGCTGGTTTTCACAATGAAATACTTTTGCGGTACATGAAACATAAGCAGATATGAATTCTTACTTCTATAACTCTTTCTTGCACTACCCGGAGAACATAAATAACATTGTTTGTTCCCCTTTTCTCTAGAAATCAGTATTATGCCATTACATTAAGTTATCCTTTTCTTTACTCCTCGTATAATTTCTTTTAGTAATAACTTTGCCAAATAACTAATAAGTCTTCGTCATAATCAATGTCCCGTAACACTGCGTGTCGCTGTGTCACCAGTTTCTGTTGACTGTCTGATCATCTTTCCCCACCTTTGACGGTCAGATGCGATGGACTTCATGGTTGCATGCCTAAGACCTCTCCAGTCGGTTATGTTCAGTCTTCAGGTCTTTCTTGGTCTGCCTTTCTTCTTTCCCCTAATACTGAACCCAGCAGTACTGTTTTTAAGAGGTTGTGAGATATTACTAAATGTTCGTACTATGACATTTTCCATCTTTTCACTGTAGTTTATTAAAAAAAAAAAGTTCTTAGTTTCTAGTGTTGGGTAATTCTACGGTGAACGTTTTCATTTGTGATAAAGTCTCTATGAAAATCTTGCTGATCTTTGTATCCTTGTATTTCTTCATAGGTAAAAAAGTCATATATCGCACCGGAAAGAAACACCCGCCCCCTCCACACAACATAACTGTGGCGAAAGGTAGCGCCTATGGGACATATTCCAGGGCGTTTGTCCAGTTTGTCATCCACGATCCAGTAGCCAAAGATCTGCTACAGTGGGCAAAAGAAATCTATAGTCCAGACGAGTTCTACTGGGCCACATTACACCACAGCAATGCGGTTGCAGTTCCTGGTGGTTACACAGGTAAGATTATAGATATGCGAATGGCATATTATGTGTCTATCTCTTTCTGTCTACGCCGATTTATGTATGTATTGGCTTAGCGGTTAATGATTATTATTAGTCATCGCTAGTGTATTACTATTGTTAGAACCTAGAAAATGTGAATGCAACTCCTGAGGCTTGCAGAATACATTTTTCAAGCAATGTTACCCTACCGCAATGTATGCATCTCTTTCTGAAACCGTCCCTTGAGTGCACCTTTCTACGGCAGTCATTTATTACAGCCAACTTTCTGTCACAGCAGGGACTGTGTCTGATCTGACTGAGCCATTTGAATTTACTGTCCACTTCTTGGAGCCAGTCATGCCGACTTTGTGTGCATAGGGAATTCCCTGTGTCAGTGTCTTACATATGTGTGGTCATTCTGCATGATTCTTCCCTTGTCTCACTCTCTCCCTCTCCCAATATGCACATATACTTATATAAATATGTAGTCATGTAGCAAGCAAGCGGGTGGCAGGTAATGAGTGTATGTATGAGTGTGTGTTTTTTTTTTTTTAAAACTACGGCGTGCTGAATTTTAGTAATACAGTGAGATAGTATTTTGGCTACAAGACACCAGTAGCACACATATATCTTCGTGTAGGGAGTCGGCAGTCCAAACCCAAGTTCAAGGTGTCTCCTTCGTGCCAAAGAACTGCATGGCTGTTGGGTGAACAGTCGTTAACGAAGGCAGTCAGGTCGTTGTTGGGGCGACGCTTGCTGGTGGATGTAATGTCCTAAATCCCTTTCCCAGCTAATAGTAGGGTTCTGCTGGGGTGACAGTTTATTAACCCTCACATAATGCTTCAGGTCCAAATGAACACTAGGCACCGCCACTCTTTTGCTTCTGAAGACTGTGGCCGTTGCTTTTTTGCTCAATTTGTAGACTAGAAGTATATAGTTTCGTTACCCAGCTTCTGAGTTGAGTGCATGGCGTGACACTGTGAGCTGCAGATTTCATTTGGAATGTTTTTCACCTGACCAACGTGGTGGTGTGATTTGTAGATTCAGAAAATGACGCGATGCCGGTTGTCGCAATATTGGTGGGGCCATTATTTGATTAAAATTTATCGCGTGTGCAACTGCTGATCTTTTGGTGACTTCTGCTACCATCAATGATGAACTGCATTTCTAACGTCAGACTGCTTGTGTTAGGACTTTGCTGACACAGTAGTTTGTCTTTCCACAAGGGACTGTGATAAACACTCTGTGTGTTTTTCGTTGGCACAGGAGCGGAGCAAAGATGGGGTGACCCGTTTGCTATGAAGCTGAAATTAAAATTACCAGATTACCAGATTACCAGATGTGTCAGGGATTTTCTGTCCTGGGAATTCAGGTGTGCGAGGGAAAGAGCCGGCCTATAGGTTAGCCACTGCCGTTCCTTTAGTCGGTGAGCTACTTTATGATGAAGTAGACTTGGTGAAGGCTCTTTGGGACCAAATCGATAGTACAATAGAAAGGCGATTCCGCACAATAAAAAACAGAATTCAACAGGTGGTGAGTAAAGGTTCTGGAATAGATTTAACATTGAAGAGGAAACATTGACATACTTTTTAACAAGGTCGAGCTTGTTGCTATTAGCATGTCGACTCTTCGTTGGCTTCTGAACAAGGGAGCAGAGAACGTGCGGGAATGTCCGGAGTGCGATGATGTCAGTTCCTTAGTGATTCACAGAAGCACAGCCTCGTGTGGGAACTAAACAAATTTTGTCCCCCTCCCCCCGGTCCCAAATTGTTCACTGTGAAAAACATCCCTTTGCGAGCCTCAAGAGGTTATGTAATAAAAACACTAAGGCCATCATTATCAGTTTTCACTTCTGCCTTTATTGCTCAATGGAGAGCAATGTTTAGAATTTAAATTAAGTGTCGTGGGGAGGAATAGTTTTCGATCCATTGAAGCGTCGTGGAAAGGAATAGATGTTGATCCATCGTTGAAGTGGCGTGGAGAGGAATAGATGTTGATCCATCATTGAAGTAGCGTCGAGAGGAATAGATGTTGATCCATTACAGCAACGTGGGGAGGAATGTTTTTTGATCCATTGTTCACATTACCAGTGACTCCTCTTGTGGGTTCCAGAGCCACGTTTGAAGAAAGGAAAAAAAAAAAAAAGACTTACTGCCACCTAAAAAGAATGTAGTAAAAGGCGATAGTTAGGAATTTGCTGAAATCGGATGTGTTGGGGAGAAAGGCGCAGATATCGCAGCCTAGCTGTAAAACACAACTTGCTTTTAAGGGCAAAACAAAGTATGACTCGCTGGGGAAACGCTTGGTTCAAATGAAATTATATAATAAAGCAAAGCATAGTTCAAAGTGTGCCTATTGCAGATTTGGAAATCTATGAACTCTTGAGGCCCTGAATGGGATTTTTTAAACATTGAATAATTTGAGACCGGTATTAGGAAGAGTGCCCAAATTTCAGTAAGTAAGAAGATGTGGGGGGGGGGGGGGGGAATAAACATGCTCTCATTGGATAGGACACACACTGACAAAACCTAAAAGTGTATACTAGAGTTTCACTACACTGGACTCAGCTAGGTCAAAGAAATAAAACAAAACGGCGGGGTGATTAAGGGTGATTAAGGGTGATTAAGGGTGATTAACGGTTGGGGAAGAGTTGTTTTGTCTATTTGCGTTTTACAGTATTTCAGTCAAAGCTAGAGAATCACTACAATAATACAATTACATTACAGTAGAGCGTATGCGAAAACAAATGCATGAGGAAATTGATGAATGTGCAAAAGGATGAATTCAAGAACAGCTAAAAATAAGAAATGTCCAGACAACAGCTAGTAGCAACAGTTATAAAATAAAGAAAATGGCCATAAATTGGATACATCTTGGAGAGAAATAGGCAGAGAATTACAAAACAGCCACTGACATGAAAAACGTAAGGACTGGGAAAGAAGAACGCCCAAGAAAAACCAAAGATCAAGGCTGATAACAGAGGTTCAAGTTGCTGGACCTGATTCCTCTGATGGTGTTCAAAAGATTGAGCAAGATATAACGGAGTTGAAGTTTACTACAAATCCTGTGTACACTACTGGGTTTAGGCATAAGCTGAAGAAAGCTACAGCTTTGGGCGACACAATCTTTAGGGGCTTATAAACAATTCCTTTTTGTTTTCACATCGCATTTTATTTGTTATAGATTTTAAGTGCAGTTTGTTTATTAATATATTTTGAATGCAATTTGTTTAAAATATATTTTAAATGCAATTGGTTTAATAATATATTTTAAATGCAATTTGTTTATTAATATATTTTTAATAGTTTATATATATATATATATATATATATATATATATATATATATATATATACATATATATACATATATATATATATATATATATATACATACATACATATATATATATATATATATATATATATATATATATATATATATATATATATATATATATATACATTCCTTTATGGTGAATTAAAGACAAGAAGAAGATGTCGAGGCCTACCTCTAGTACGATATAAAGATATGTGCAAGCGGGACATGAATGATATAGGTATTGAAGTGGACTCATTGGAACAAAATGCCATGGACCGTGTTGTGTGGAAAGGGCGTATCAGGAAGGGAATGAGAGTGAAGAAAGAAATGATGGCAGAAAGGATAGGAGCTGAGCGTCTGAAAAGAAATGGATTAAACACAAATGTTGACAACAATGGTCTTGAAATCCTATGCTATCATTGTGGAAGACTTTTCTTGACACGGGCGGGTCTTGCTATTCACACTCGCCATCGGCTGTGAGTCCCATACCTCCTCATAGCGCAATATATCACTATCGTCTACCCCCGTGTGGGTTCCGGGGCCCCATTGTGGGGAAAACAAGAATAGACCCACTGACTCCCCAAAAGCATGTCGTAAGAGTCGACTAATTGGGAAGCTTCCTTTGAAGTCGGAGTGCATCTGCCGGAGAGGCAAGGAACCAACAGTCTGTATTCAAGAGAATGAGATCTGTAAAACTGATGCACACGCAACACTCAGGTTCTGGAGCAGAACTGCAGTTCAGTAGTGGACGAGCAACCAGAACCTTCCGCCAGAGTTTACAGCTGGTGAACGTGAAGAAGAAGAAGAAGACTATCGTCTAGAAAGACGGAAAGGTATCAAGCACACACACACACACACACACACACACACACACACACACACACACATATATATATATATATGTATATATATATATATATATATATATATATATATATATATATATATATATATATGTCATAAGTCAACCTTACCACACACTGAGAGATAAAGACAAACAATGACTAGACTGACTCATAACAGCAGACAGGTCAATTACTGGTCAGACGGGTTGTGTGTAGAGCCGCACGGCGAAACAGGTAACTGAGTGGGGAGGTTACAGGGGGACTGGACAAACAGGTAGAGTGACACACGGCAGTTAGTAGTTGGACATTCCAGTGAACGGATGTGTTTGTTTGGGGCCCTTTTAAAAGGTGGGAATTGTTTTTCGCTTGGAATGGACTGGATTTAAAACTGTGAACAGAACAGTAGTGGTTATTCATACTGGTGACAAGTGTTTCTGTTGTATAGCTGGATTATAAAGTTAAGTGTAGTAGTTAGGAGGATACGTAATTATTGCTATAGAGGCATCAGCTAGCTTCTCATGACTTTGTTCATATTTCGAGGATGAGTTTGTGATCAGTTATACCAGCGTACTGTTGATGTATTTAGCCAGTGACTACCTGAGATTAGTGTGCTTATGAACCATACGAATAACATCTGTGGCTACTCAGTAGTCGATAACGTTGTGCGGAAGCCATACTAACTTTGCAATTATCATGAGTTCTTAAATAAACATACTAACTTTGCAGTTATCAAGAGTTTCTTAAATAAACATTATTTAGGAACTGGAACAAGGTCATCAGCGTTTACATGTTCATGGAAGTGTGGGTACACCTGGCACAAATAACAATTGTACTTGTGTCACACCTATA